GGGTGACAACGTGACGTGACAATAAGGTGTGTGTAGACGGTGAGTAATTGATCTGCAGTCAGAGAGTATTATTGAGCACGTTCGTTTTATAGCGTTTGTTTTAGCGCGATTGTTGAAATTAAGTGTATCGTAAAGTTATATTCAGAAAGAATAAACCAGTTTTATTAAGTAAGGACTTGTGTCGTTAAAGTTTCGTCGGAACGAAGTTACGGAAAGTTAACTAACAAACGGAGACGTAACAATATTATATCCAAAAAGGAAGTAACATATAAAATCTAGTCCTAGAACTCCAGAGTTCATCAGAACAATTAATACTACTTTAAGAAGTGAAGTAACAAAAAACGTCTAGATCTAGAACTACAGAGTTCATCAAAACAATTGATATTAGATTCAGAAATGAAGTTACATATAAGTCCTAGAACTAGAAATACAGAGCTCATCAGATCAATAAATACTACGATAAGAAGTGAAGTAACATATAAGGTCTAGAGCTAGAACTACAGAGTTCATCAGAACAATTAATATTACTTTCAGAAATGAAGTAACATATAAAGTGTAGATCTAGAATTACAGAGTTAAGGAGAACAGTTAATATTAGATTCAGAAGTGAAGTTACATATAAGGTCCAGACCTAAAAATACATAGCTCATCAGATCAATTAATACTACGATAAGAAGTATGGTAACATATAAGGTCTAGAGCTAGAACTACAGAGTTCATCAGAACAATAAATATTACTTTCAGAAAAGAAGTAACATATAAGGGCGTGATCTAGAACTACAGAGTTCATCAGAACAATAAATAAAACTTTATGATGTGAAGAAAAAGATAAGGTTTAGACTTAGAACTACAGACTTCATCAAACTAATTAATATTATATAAGAAGTAAGGTAACATACTAAGACGAGACCAAGAACTACAGAGTTCATTAGAACAATTAATATTACTTTCAGAAGTGAAGTAAGATATAAGGTCTAGATTTAGAACTACAGAGTTCATCAGCGCCATTAATATTACTTTTAGAAGTGAAGTAACATATAAGATCTTGTCCCATAACTACAGAGTTCATAAGAACAATTAATATTAGATTCAGACGTGAAGTTACATATAAGGTTTAGACCTAGAAATACAGAGCTCCTCAGAACAATTAATACTACAATAAGAAGTGAAGTAACATATAAGGTATAGGGCTAGAACTACAGAGTTCATCAGAACAATTAATATTATTTTAAGAAGTGAAGTAATGTATAAGGTCTAGACCTAGAAGTACGGAGTTCATTAAACTGATAAGAGTTACTTTTAGAAGTGAAGTAACATATAAGGTCTAGACCTAGAACTATAGAGTTGTACAAACTAATTAGTGTTACTTTCAGAAATGAAGTAACCTATAAGATGTAATCAAAGGACTACAGAGTTCATTATAACAATTAATATTACGTTCAGAAGTGAAGTAACAAAAAACGTCTACACCTAAAAGTACCGGGTTATTCAGAGTGTCACGTCTCCGTTTGTTTGTTAACTTTCCGTAACTTCGTTCCGACGAAATTTTAGCGACACAAGTCCTTACTTAATAAAACTGGTTTATTCTTTCTGAATATAACTTTACCGATACACTTATTTTCAACAGTCGCGCTAAAACAAACACTATATCGAACGAACGTTAACTTCAACAATACATTTGACTGCAGTTCAATTACTCACTACCTACACACACACATTCCCGTCACGTTGTCACCCTCTTTTATATACCAGCCTACCCTATATCTAGTAATTGCTAGAGCATTCGCCAAGGTACAGGATAGTTCTAGAAACTAGTCATGTGACTTCGCTGACGCAACAAGAGTAATTACTATTAATTTCCAAAATGAAGTAACATATAAGATCTAGACCTAGAAATACAAAGTTAATCAGAACAATTAATATTATAATCAGAAGTGAGGTAACGTACAAGGTTTAGACCTAGAAGTACAGAGTTCATAATAACAATTAATGTTACATTCACAATTGAAATAACATATAAAGTGTAGATCAAGAACTACAGAGTTAAGGAGAACAGTTCATATTACTTTTTAGAAGTAAAGTAACTTAAAAAGTCTGGACCCAGAACTACAGAGTTCATCAAACTAATTACTGTTACTTTCAAAAGTGAAGTAACACAAAAGTTCTAGATCTAGAACTACAGAGTTAATGAGAACAGTTAATATTACTTTTTAGAAGGAAAGTAACATAAAAGATCTAGAACGTTAAATACATAGTTCATCAAAACAATTAATAGTAATTTCAGAAAAGAAGTAACATATAAGGGTTTGATCTAGAACTACAGAGTTCATCAGCACAGTAAATAGTACTTTCAGAAGTGAAGAAAAAGATGAGGTTTAGACCTAGAACTACAGACTTATCAAACTAATTAATATTATATAAGAAGTGAAGTAACATACAAAGACGAGACCTAGAACTACAGAGTTCATCAGAACAATTAAGATTAGTTTCAGAAGTGAAGAAAAAGATAAGGTCTAGAGCTAAAACTACAGAGTTCTTCAGATCAATAAATACTACGATAACAAGTGAAGTAACATATAAGGTCTAGAGCTAGAACTACAGAGTTCATCAGAACAATTAAGATTAGTGTCAGAAGTGAAGAAAAAGATAAGGTCTAGACCTAGAACTACAGAGCTCACCAGAACAATTAATATTACCTTCAGAAGTGAAGAAAAAGATAAGGTCTAGAGCTAAAACTACAGAGTTCATCAGAACAATTAAGATTCCCTTAAGAAGTGAAGTAACGTATAATGTCTACACCTAGAACCACAGTGTTCATCAGAACAATTAATATTAGATTCAGAAAAGAAGTACACATAAGGGCTTGATCTAGAACTACAGAGCTCACCAGAACAATTAATATTACTTTCAGAAGTGAAGAAAAAGATAAGGTTTAGACTTAGAACTACAGACTTCATAAAACTAATTGATATTATATAAGAAATGAAGTAACATACAAAGACGAGACCTAGAACTACTGAGTTCATTATAATAACTAATATT